TGCAATCACATCTTTCAATGTGGCCTAATGGTTAGAGAGTTGGACTTGTAACCCGAAGGTTGCGGGGGTGAATAACCAGCGCTCTCTTCCACCCTCAATACCACGACTGAGGTGAGACCCTTGAGCAAGGCACTGAACCCCCAATTGCTCCCCGGGTGCCGCAGCAATATGGCTGCCCACTGCTCTGGGTGTGTGTTCACAGTGTGTGTGTGTTCACAGTGTGTGTGTGTTCACTACTGTGTGTGTGCACTTGGATGGGTTAAATGCAGAGCACAAATTCAGAGTATCTGTATCGGTTCTAAATCCTGCCGTGCCACTCACATAGTTTTCCATAATATTGCATTATATTTGTCCCAAATTATTGTTAATGTACATAATGACTATCATAGGCTGGAAGATTGTGTATTGTGCTTTTTTCAGCGAAATGTTTGTTTTTCTGTGGCTCTAATAAAGTGCAATAAATCACACTTTCTCATTCTGTTTGCTCTGTTTTTTCAATCACCGAACTGCAAACTCATTGACACCACTTGCTCATTCCTGAAATTAACTTTTGAATGTTGGGAGAATAGATTAAAGGTTTTGGACTGTCATCTTGAACTGAACGCGACGCGTCCGGTGTTCGATACGTGAGTTGCCCTAGATGTGACGCGGCACGGTGCTGCGCTTCTCGTCCGGTGTGCGATCGCCTTTCAGAAATGCAACAAGAAAACAGCACAGTGAGAGTGACTGATATCAACAAAATAATACATTTGGTTGGCTTGCAAAACAAATGATGACAAACAAGCAGTGTCTATAATAAATTATATTATTATTGGCACAACGGCCTAGTAAATGTCCTCACTTACATTATTTGCGGTTTCCATCGTGATGTGGATAATAGCTAGTTAGTTTATCAGCGTTTTTTTTTTTTTCCGATAGAGATCCCCACAGCGGGCGGAACTTGTCACAAAGTTAGTGATAACAAGGCCCACCCAATTAGAGGAAAGATATGATTGGTCAGTTTTTCTGTCATTTAAATTTACTCTCTCATTACATTCCTCTGTGATTCATTCAACACTCTGCGGAAACATTCAAATATGGAGAAAATGGGCGGTGTTCATTTAACACATTCACTGAATAGGCAGATTTTACGAGTTTATTTCCACAGAAATTGTATTTATTTTATGTATGGTGATTGTCAAATTATGAATTGCTTAAATAAAAATAGAAATTATTACTTTTTATTAAAAATAATATTTAAAATGTGTCATTTAAAAAAATATATTTAAAAATTGTAAATATTGTTTTTACAATAGTTTAGGCCCTCTCTGAGGGCCTAGAGGGCCCTGACGGTTCCCCTCTGGCTTCTTGTTATCAAGATCTTTCTATATGCTGTGTTCTGTTAATGCGTTAACTTCATATTATTTGTTGCCCACTTGCCATCGCATTAAGCTTTGTGCTTTGTTACCTTTTAATAAACAAAGTATCAACGGCAAAGTATTTCCAGACTTTTGCTTCTATTTAGTTTGCTATAATAGAAAATTAAAAATGTTATGAAAATAAATTTATCATACAAGTGTGTTTTCATGGCAGCTGTTTAGTGATTTAGGCATTCTTTAGTGATTGTCAAACACGCCTGAATGAATTCAAGGTGCACTTTCTCATTATGCAAAAATGCAGGTTATGAGCGTTTTGGGTTTCTTCTCACAATATTCTTAGCACCGTATTACAGAGCGTCTGCAAAAATAATTATACAGACTTTCGTGTGCACACGAGAAACCATTAAACTTAGCATACAGGACAATGCACATTGAGCAACCTATTGCACCATTAGCCCATTTCACAGTGTGGTTTCTTGGCCTCCACAGACTATGCGTTAAAGCAGACCTAAGGCCTTGAAATAAATGTACTGCCCTAAAGAAAGCCAAATATTGAAGTCTTTAGCCCATTTCGTGTCATGGTTTCTCTGCTGCCACAGAGGATGCGTTAAATTTGGTATGAATTTGGACATTAGGTATGGCAAGCCGTTTTAGCTTAAAGTGTTCCTAGCGTTACATGCCGTAATTGCATTTTTTCTAGTAAGAATTAAATTACAGAACTGTACAAATCTGTTCCTACTAGTAAAATGTACAATTAGAGAGCTCTCTAATTCAATTCCTACCAACAACTATGATTAGAGCTCTCTAATTCAATTATTACTAGTAACAACTATGATTAGAGAGCTCTCTAATTCAATTATTACTAACAATTCAAATTTAGAGAGCTCTACAAATGAATTTTATTTGTCTCCATTGACTTCCATTAATTTTTAATTACAGAGCTCTACAACTGAATTTTTAGTAAGAATTACAATTAGAGTTCTCTAATTCATTTTTTACTAGTAACAATTCCAATTACAGAGCTCTATAATTTAATTTTTACTAAAAACACATTAGTTAATAAAAACACATTGTTCAGTCAAACAGTTTTTAATGATGAATAGCAGTGCTGAGGCTGTAATGATGTGTTAATTATTATTATATATTAAAATCATAAAATGATTATGCTTTACAGAGAAGAAATATAGATAGTATATGTACTCTAAGTTATTTTTTAAAGGTGAATTCAGACCAGCGATATGCATATTTATTTATTGGTTGTAAAATACCTGTTTCTGTTTGGCATTGCAAGGGTTTTACTCACATTATTAGGGCCTTTCGCACCGCGGGAACCTTTTCATAGTACCAGAACTAATTGTGGAACTACCCACTTTTTGGCGTTTTCGCACCGCCGGAACTGGGTGCGATTTTAGTACCGGACTGCCTTTTTCGAGAACCAAATTAGCTCCTACACAACAAAAACACAGCTCCGATCACAGCGATCACACTCCATCCTCCCTGTTGGTAACGTTGTTTTTCTTTGTTTCCGTTGTTGAACGCCACGCACAAATTACGTCGCTGTCGACCGGTTCCTAGTACACACTGTCAGTGCGAATGCAACCCTTTAAATGGTACCGGGAAATAGTTCGCGCAAAATCGTCCCAGTACTTTAGTACTGTACATTTAGTTCTGGAACTAAAGCGGTGCGAAAGGTCCTATTCACACACAAAATAATGCTGAGGCTAGGTCCTGTTACATAGTCATTTGAGCTAGGAGCGTGATAATATCGTAATTGTTGTTTTAAAGTATGCCAGCTGACATTGATCAGGTCACTCACATTGCAAAAAAAAGTCCAAAAGCATTTACTGCATGATGAAGCCTATATTTTCATTTTAGGAGCTCTGTATGTTGTCATTTCAAGAAAAAAAATAAAAATAAAAACTTGAGAAAATAAAAAAAATATTTACAGATGACTGTACTATATAGGAACCCTGCTAAGTAAAATTATATTATTTAATCAAATCATTATTTTATGTGTATGTATTTATTTATTTGGTAGGCAGTCATGTAATAGGCATGGTTAGCCCAAAATTTATGCAAGCAAACCTCCTTCAATTCCAGGTCCTGCTTACTTTACATTTAGTCTAAAATACTGTAATGCTGTCATCCTAAGGAGATTCTCATTGTCTGTGCCACATAAACACTGCATGACTGAACAAAAGATTATATCACAAATTATATCACATTGTGAGATTAACAGACAGCCACATAGAATAGAGAAGATATACTGAGAATAAGATTGAACAGAGGAAGTTAGAAATTAAGAGTGGGAACGAAAGAAGAAATGAGTTGAACCATGTGATGAATTATGAAGATCATGAGATTGTTTTAGTAAACTAAGCTTACTAAAATAATTTTCATGTTAGATGTGTAACAACTTCGCTTCAAAGTCTTTAATGTTCATTCATCTTATATCTGGTTGGTTTGGTTCATGGTGTTTTACAAAAAAAATAAAATAAATGTAAAAGTGGGCGGACGCTGTTGTCATCTATATGGACTTTAAATCTTGCGTAAACTCTTTAATGGTTGGTTTGAACTTCCTCCTCCATGAGGTTAAACTGCTTTTATGCAGAAATGAAAGTGCAGGTAGACATTTTTTATTCCGTGATCAACAAAAAGTAGTATTGAGGAAGAAAACAGTCCAAATCTATTTGGTGTGAACTGAACAACTTGCAAGCTCAAACTAAATATAACTGTGTAGCTTTCCGCTGAGGACTGTTAAAGCAGAGGTGAGTTTAACATTGTAGCTAAACTGATTCATTGTTCATTTTGTAGATCATTTGTCTGATTAATTCTTACACAGTGATTATGTGTTTGCAGGCATGCGGTCCCGTTAACAAGGAAACATGACCTCCAGATTTAGACTTTCACTGAAATATAAAACAAAATCTTCAAAGAGGTTAGAATACTGGATTATACATGTACAGTGAAGTAATATATTCAGTGTCCTACACTTATTTCAGACTCTAAATGTAAACAAATGCTGTAGGAGTCATTTTTTTCACAATGAATTATTAGTGGATGTATGAAGTCCTGTTGGAGGAACCACAGGTGTAGAGAATTTACTATCAACATGATCCACTAACTCTTTGCGAAAGGGCTTTTCCCTCATGAAATAACCTTTGGTTAACAATTAATTCTGGGAATTCATAATCTGGCCATTTTTTTTTTTACACCAGTTCAATTCAGAAGAGATCATCCCAATCTGACCGTAGTGGTGTGTCTTTGAAGAGTGACCAGTCCAAGGACCAAGGAATCCTGATATTAATTTCAAAGAGAGAAACTCTTTTGCTGAAAAGAGGTTAGTATCACGGTTTAACAGGTCTAGCAGGTTTTTAACTGGCTTAACTTAAACCAAATGTGATGATTATCTGAAGTGTGCAATGAAAAGTACTATGTAAAGTGGTTACACGTCAAATAATCACTTAATAGTTGACGGACAGAAATCTGAATTTACAATGTATGTTAATGCCAGGTGTAAAGCGTGTATGTAGTCTACTGAATATATTATAGGTACATTTATACAGGACAACTGTAAAAACAGTACATAGTAGAAAATTAAATGAAAAGTTGTTAACATGCAGTGTAAATATTGATAAACTCTTTCTGATGAACTACAGTCACAGTCATGATGTGCCTCACTCCTCAAGTAAAAAACACAAGAATGCAGTCTTTAAGGTGTGTATTTGTCTGTTTTATGGTGGTTACTTGTCTGCTTTTATTGTGGTTATTGTGTGTGGGTGTAGACACATTTGAGTCATTAACACAACCACACGTTTTAACTTGTGTGATCCATGTGATGATGTTCCTTAAACACTGATTTCAGATGCTTAAGCGCACAGTCATTTCTCTGATTAAAAATGAACTAAAGAAGTTTAAGAAAATGCTGAGCCCAGATTACCCACAATGCTCTGTGAGAGAGGAAGAGGATGACGAAGGTCAGACCGATGTCAGAGATGCGGTTCTGAAGATCACACTGCACGTCCTGAGGAAGATGAACCAGACAGACCTCGCCAACACATTACAGACCAGTAAGAGCTCTGGGCCGTATAATAAGTTTATCTGTTTTACCTTAAAGAGTGCATGAAATCCTATTCTAAACCAATTTTACTTCTGTGATATGACAAAACATTTTCTCAATTGCCTTTCAGGCTTGCTAGATCTCGTTGAATGTGCATTTTAATCTATTTGCATTGATAACATGCTTTAACACAACCAAAATTACAAGGGATCATATAAGAATGTCTTTAGTAAATCGGCATTCCTGTACCTCAAATAGTACATCATGAAACTAACAATAGAAAGGTCATGGATTAAATTTGTAGGGAATGGCTGAACTGATAAAATATGCACCTTGAATTCAATGTTAGTCACTTGGATAAAATGCTTAAATGTAAATGAAAATGTACATGATGCTTTAATTGCCGAACATGACTGAATGCCCTTCTGTCTACCAGAACTGACCCCCATGGGTCAACACATACTAAAATCCAATCTGAGGGCGAAATTTTGTAAAATTCATGAAGGAATTTCACTGCAAGGAAAAACAACTCTTCTGCATGAGATCTACACAGAGCTCTACATCACAGAAGGAGGGAGGGGAGAGATGAGTTGTCAACATGAGGTGAGACAGATTGAGACAACAGCCTGGACACCAGAGACACCGGAAGCACCAATCAAATGCAATGACATCTTTAAAGCCTTACCTGGACAAAACAAGCCCATCAGATCTGTACTGACTAAAGGAGTTGCTGGAATTGGAAAAACAATCGTTGTGCAGAATTTCATTCTGGACTGGGCTGAAGGAAAAGACAATCAGAATGTCCACTTCATATTTCCACTTCCTTTCAGGGAGCTCAATTTGATGAAGGAGAAAAATATTAGTCTGATGGAGCTTCTCCGTCAGTTTTTCACAGAGCTAAGATTACCAAATTGTGATGACTATAAAATCATGTTCATATTTGATGGTCTGGATGAGTGTCGACTTCCTCTAGATTTCCAGAACAATGATATCTTATGTGATGTAACAGAGTCAGCCTCAGTGGATGTTCTCCTGACGAACCTCATTAAGGGCAATCTGCTTCCATCTGCTCTCCTCTGGATCACCTCTCGACCAGCAGCAGCCAATCAGATCCCTGCCGAATGTGTCGACAAGATCACAGAAGTACGAGGTTTCAATGACCCTCAGAAGGATGAGTATTTCAGGAAGAGAATCAGTGACCAGAGTCTGGCCAATAGAATCATCACACATGTCAAATCATCAAGGAGCCTCTACATCATGTGTCACATCCCAGTCTTCTGCTGGATTTCAGCCAATGTTTTAGAGAGAATGTTGAGTGAAGCAGAGAGTGCAGAGATCCCCAAGACTCTCACTCAAATGTTCACACACTTTCTAATCTATCAGATCAAACGAAGAAGCCAGAAATACCAAGAAAACGTTGATATAGATCTTCAGCAGACAACAGAGAATGTATTTTCCCTGGGAAAACTTGCTTTTCAACAGCTAGAAAAAGGCAACCTGATCTTCTATGAGGAAGACCTCAGAGAGTGTGGTATTGATGTCAGAGAAGTGTCAGTGTATTCAGGACTGTGTACCCAGATCTTCAGAGAGGAGTTTGGACTGTACCTGGGGAAGGTGTACAGCTTTGTACATCTCAGCTTTCAGGAGTTTCTTGCTGCTTTATTCAAGTTTCTTTCCTTAATCCTAAAACCTACCAAGCATTTTAAACTATTTAGCTCCACAATGACTGATTTGCTAAAAAGAGAAGTGGACAGAGCCTTGCAGAGTGACAATGGGCACCTGGACCTTTACGTTCGATTCCTTCTGGGCCTCTCATTGGAGTCAAATCAACGTCTCTTACAAGGCCTACTGACACATACCGGGAATGTATGCCTAATAAACAAACAAAAAATCATTAAATATCTCAAGGAGAAAATCAAGGATAATCCCTCTCCAGAGAAATCCATCAATCTGTTCCACTGTCTGAATGAACTGAATGATCATTCCCTAGTGCAGGAAGTCCAAGCATACCTGAAGGAAACAGGTCCCAGTGGTCTCTCTGGAGTGAAACTCTCTCCTGCTCAGTGGTCGGCTCTGGGGTTTGTGTTGCTGAACTCAGAAAATGAGCTGGATGAGTTTAAGCTGAGTAAATATGATCAATCAGAAGAATGTCTTCTGAGACTGCTGCCAGTGGTAAAAGCTTCTAGAAACGCGGAGTGAGTATGTGTACAGTATATCTGTAAAAAAAAAAAATATATATATATTCTTTGTATTCATGATTGGTTCATATGTTATGCAAAAACTTTTATACCATTTAAAAAAAAGCCTACAATTATTGATGTGGTGTAAATATTTAATTCAGTCACACTTAAGTTTGGGGACAAATTCTCACTATTAACTAACTATTAATTGAAATGTTTGACTCAGTAAACTCCTAATTTGATGCTTAGTAATAGTTAGTAAGGTTTAAGTTCAGGTATGGGGTAGAGATTAAGGGAACTAAAATATGCTCATGCAGAATAAGGCATCAAAATGTGTTTTATAAGTGCTAAGTGCAGGATAGTTGTATCATCTTGACATTTTTTTACCCCGTCAAATTAATTTTAATTCATACATTTAAAAAACATGCTAAAGTGACTGAGTGTATGAATTGCATTTTTAAAGTATTAATGTATGTAATGTATTGAATAATGTATTTATTGCATTTGAATATATTAATAGGATAAATAAACAGGACAACAAAGCCAGGTAAACCTGTAAACCAAAGGTGCAGGAAGATCGTAGGATAACTGGGTGCAACTGGGAAAGGAATAGGGAAGTTAAAGTGGATGATAAAGGGAAGAAACATTAATGAGTGTGATGAGATGCAGTAACAGATTTGATGAAAGAGATTGTGCTCCTTATTGACATACAAACTAAACTGAACATTGACACAGCCTTCCTGAGATGAAACCCAGCATACTGTAAGATGGCACATTATTAAGATTGTTGATCAAATTAAACATTTCCATTATTTCTCTCCCAGGCTGTGTGATTCTAATCTGACTGAGAAGAGCTGTTCAGCACTGGCCTCAGTCATTAGCTCAAACTCCTCAAGTCTGGCTGACTTGGACATGAGCAACAACAACCTGCAGGATTCAGGAGTGAAGCTGCTCTGTGCTGGACTGAAGAATCCACAATGTAAACTGGAGACATTACAGTATGCTGTCTTACATTTTGTAGTGATAAGAGTATTTTGAACATGTATCTCCACCCAAAATATCTAGTTTTATTTCAGCTGAATGGGACATTCTGGAGAGGTGCATAAGAGCAAAACAACATTATAATTTAGTTAGGAAGAGTGTTAAGAGTCATTTTCTTTGCAGGTTGTCAAACTGCTGTATTACACTGGATGGTTGTGCTGCTTTGGCTTCAGCTCTGAGAACAAATCTCTCACACTTGAGAAAACTGAATCTCAGTGACAATACACTTGGAGACCCAGGAGTAAACCTGCTGTCTGGTCTCCTGGAGGATCCACAATGCAAACTGGGCAAACTATAGTGAGTGCCATTACCATATGGACTATTAGTCTCTATCAGCAGTGTTGGGGAAAGTTACTTTTAAAAGTAATGCATTACAATATTGCATTACTCCATAAAAAAAGTAACTAATTGCATTACTTAGTTACTTTTTATGGAAAGTAATGCGTTACTTTACTAGTTACTTGAAAAAAGTAATCTGATTACGTAACTCGCGTTACTTGTAATATATTACCCCCAACACTGTCTATCAGTATGAAATGAATGCTTAGATGCCTTTAGATTTCACTTCAAAAATATCTAATCATCCCAAGAAGATACATTTACCTGAGAATAAAAATGTATACATGTATGTTTTTGCGAAACACATTTTTGCTGTTTGCAAAATGTATATTGATGTAAGGTTATTTTAACATTTTATTCTAATAAAAAAATGATGTGTCTTATTTAATTATCATAGAAACTCAACAAAAAATATTATTCATTACATGTTGTTAATCTTCATCTATCAAATAATGTTTTGTTTTTGTTGACCTAAAAATATTAATAGTTTTTATATGTCTTTTTGCAGCCTTAGTAACTGCAGTATTGGAGAGGAAGGTTTTGCTGCTTTGGCTTCAGCTCTAACATCAAACCCCTCACACCTTAGAGAACTAAACCTGGGTATGAATAAACCAGAAAATTCAGGAGTAAAGATGCTCTCTCATCTACTGGAAAATCAAAACTGCAAACTAGAGAAACTACAGTAAGTTTTTGATATTCACAATTTTTCTTTCTGTAATTGTTAAAGGAGATGTCTAATGCTATTTCATGCATTCTGACTTATTTATACTGCCAAAGAGTTTGATTCTCAAGCTAAACATGACCAAAGTCTCAAAAAATGAGCCGAACGTGTGTTAGAGTATTTCTGTGCCAAATACACTCCTTCAGGGTTCCTATAATTTTTGGAAAGTTTTTTCAAATATGTCCCTGTATGACATCATAAAGGGCGGAATTCCTTTTATGGGCACTTCTCCAGGAAGAGCGTGCGCACACATCTACCAAAGCGGGAGTAAGAGCACACCCATCAACATGCTTCATTCAGGTTATGGAAGTCGTCGGCAGTGCTGCACAGGATTTGCTAAAGAAGGATTTGTCATTTTGATTTTGACTGCAAAATTAACTATGTCACCAAAGAAGTGTGTTTTTATGTCTTTGTCCTTTAGCAATTGATGCACAAGCATTGCTGGTTATAGACTGTTCAAGTGGGAGCCCAGTATAAAATGTGTTCAGACAAAAATGTAAAATGTTAATTTAGGGTACAAGTACAGCATTAGACACATCATGCTTGTAGGTGAAATGTTTTCTCTTTTCAGGTTGTTTAAGAGCAGCATTAGAGAAGAAGGATTTGCTATTCTGGTATCAGCTCTGAGATCAAACCCCTCACACCTGAGAGAACTAGATCTGAGTGGAAATGAACCAGGAGATTCAGGAGTGAAGGTGCTCTCTGATCTACTGAAGGATCCACACTGTAAACTGAAGACACTACAGTGAGTATAACAGTTATAGAAAAGAGTAAAACTACAGTTAGATTGCATAAAAGTAGGGTGAGTATACTTTTATGAAATCCAATCAAATATCATCTACCATGTTTCTTATATATATTGTTGGCTCTGTAGAGAATTGCTTGTGTTTCTCTTTTAAAGGGGTCATATGATGCTTCTAAAAAGAACATTATTTTGTGTATTTGGTGTAATGAAATGTGTTTATGTGGTTTAAAGTTCAAAAACCACATTATTTTCCACATACTGTACATTATTGTTTCTCCTCTATGCCCCGTCTTTCTGAAACGTGTCGATTTTTACAAAGCTCATCGTTCTGAAAAGCGAGGTGTGCTGGCTTCGTCCACGGTGAAAGCCGATCCGGCGATCCACAGCGTGAAGTTGAAGTATTTCCTCAGCGACCAGCACAGATCAGCTCCAGGCATGACGAAGCGGATATCGTCCTCTTTTGGAAGACCAAACAAAGTAGTTTCGCTTTCACAACGACGCACAGCGCCTTCACGACATGGCGGCGGCGGCAACAATACTTAGGCGAGAGTAAAAGTTACGCCTTTTTCTTTGCGTGAACATTTAGGCGGCGTTATGCAAATCTTCCCACATAGTGACGTAGACGTGGGGGTGTGTTAGAACGAGGCGTTTTAGGAAGGCGTGGTTGACAACTTTTATAAAGAATATCTCTTTGGATTTGAGACTTTAGTCTTTGCAACTTTACAGATCTTCTTTATGCACCAAGAGCTTGTAACACTTCAAAGAGAAAGGAAAAATTTAAATCGCTTCATATGACCCCTTTAAGTCGCTTTGGATAAAAGCACCTGCTAAATGCATAAATAAAAATGTGTTTATAATCACTGGATGGTTATTTATTAAGTCAAATCACCTTTATTTATATAGTGCTTCACATTATTTCTACACTTGACCCTCCAACACTAGAAATGACTCCATATTCTATTTCTGTTCTATCTACTTGATTTACTTTACTAAAATACTTGACCCGCTAAGACTTACACTCTCTATTCTATTTCTATTTTATCCACTTTTCTTTTTATTTATATAAAAAACTTGACCTTTGCTTCTGCAAGAATTTCTTGGAAAACAGTTATTTCATTTAGTGCCATGTGTTCTGAGCAACCTGAGTCAACCAATTCCACTTATATATGTATATCTGTAAGTGTGAGAGTTTTTTTTTTGTCCTGTTATGCAGACTGTCTAACTGCAGTATTGGAGAGGAAGGTTCTGGCTCTCTGGCTTTAGCTCTGAGATCAAACCCATCGTACCTGAGAGAGTTTGATCTCAGCTCAAACAAACCTCAAGACTCAGGAGTAAAGCTGCTCTCTAATCTACTGGAGGATCCACAGTGTAAACTAGAGAAACTGAAGTGAGCGCTATACATTAAACTATCACATAAGCTGCACTCATATACTTAATAAATAAAGGTGTTTGTGATGAAGTCTAATTAAGTAATAGAAAAGGGAAGCATAGTGAAATAGAGTGCTAAAGACATGAGTTGCCTATTTAAAAATTTTCTTATTTGACAGACCAGCCACCACATTACAAAGTGTTCTTTTTCTTTTTCTTTTTCTTTTTCTTTTTTTTCCTTCTCTTTGCAGGTTGTGTAACTGCAGTATTGGAGAGGAAAGTTGTTCTGCTCTGGCTTCAGCTCTAAGATCAAACCCCTCACACCTAAACGAGTTGAATCTCAGCTCAAACAAACCTCAAGACTCAGGAATTAAGCTGATATCCAATCTACTGGAGGATCCACAGTGTAAACTAGAGAAACTAACGTGAGCTGTATACACTAAGCTATTACATAAGCTGCACTCATATACTAAGTTGACTCAAAAATGAAAATTCTGACATCAGTTGACCGTCATGCTGTTCCAAATCCATAAAACTTTCGTTCATCTTAGAAACAAAAATGAAGATATTTATAATGAAATCTGAGAGATTTCTTTCCCTCTATTGAAAGTTCCTTTGACCAAAACGTAAGTAATCCTAATCAATATGAATTAAGTGAGAAGAGACATGCTCACTTAATATGAACAATATAATTTCGGCTTTTATTCACATGCAAACACTGATCAACACAAATACTGTACACAAATACTTTATAGATAACATAAAATATGGTAAACAGAAACTCAGCCATGCTTTCTTGACATGCAAAAACCAGAGTTTCGTTCATGTGACAAACAAGCATGATTGAACTTCCACATTAACAAAATAGGTTTGTCCTCACAAGTCAAGCAAGTAAGGTTACTTAGGTTTTATGACCCTTTATGAAGTTATCATAATCTTAACTTTTTATGATTATAATAACTTTTTGAAGCATCAAATCTTTAGGTGAATGAACTTTCAGTGAAAGGGCAGAGATGTGTGTTTTGTGTTTTGAAGATGAACAAATGTCTTCTGGATCTGGAATGACATGAGGGTCAGAAATGATGACAGAATTTTCAATTTTGAAGTGAACTATCCCTTTGATAAATAGAGGTGATTGTGATTACCATGAAGTTTAAGTAACAGAAAACAGAAGCATACTGAAGGATGAATAGTATGAAAGAGTATAGTAAAGACATTGACTTTTTAGCAAACAAAATTTTCTTTTTATACAAATCAGCCACCACATCTTCACCACATTTTCTTATTTCTTCTCTTTGCAGGTTGAGTAAATGCAGTATCGGAGAGGAAGGTTGTTTTGCTCTGGCTTCAGCTCTGAGATCAAACCCCTCACACCTCAGAGAACTGAACCTAAGCTTGAATAAACCTGGAAACTCAGTGAAATTCTTGTCCGATCTTCTGGAAGATACAAATTGCAAACTGGAGTCCCTCAAGTGAGTTTTGCTCTCGTGACTGTTACATTGTTTGTTCTGGTATCTGAATAACTAGTACTGAAATCTTTCTTATTTTTCTGTTAAACAGACTCTAGGCTCCATGCATTTGACCTGCTTGACACTGTCCTACACTAGTTTCTTTGTCTCCACTGCCTACAAGCTATAATCAAAGAATATTTTGCATCCACACTGCTTCAGTCAGGTGGCTTCAGCTCTGCTATTTCTAGATAAAACTCACTCTCTCACTTACATTTTATAAGAAAGTTGCAGTAATGAACACATTAACCATGAATTCTGACAGTGACACAGAAACTAACAAGACAAAACTTCTTTAATACTATGAATAACAGTACATTTAATTGACTCTTAGTTAAAGCAATACATTTTATCAATGCTTACAGTATTTAGTTTGTTACATCATTAATTCAATTTTACTGAACACATTTTCACACTTTGACAAAACATCAGCTGGTCCAGTGCATAAAACACTGACGCTGTGGACACCTGTCTCAGCTATACATCTCCATGCACAATACTGTTTTCATCATGTGTCTACTTCATTTGATTGAACATATTAACAGAAATGAATTAATAAATAAAAACCTCCCAATGCATTATTTAAAAAACAAGTGTCTAAACATTTTCACAGTACTGTAGTTTCTCAGATAAGTTGTTGCAGGCATTTTGAGGACGTTGCTACAGATATTCTATGCATTTAGGCTATATATTGCATATATATGTCTTAAGTAGTCATCTTTTTCATTTGATTATTGTACCTAAATGTATAGATCATAGTTTAGATATACAGTGGGTACGGAAAGTATTCAGACCCTGATTTTAGCAAATGGCTGCAATATAACAAAGAGTGAAAAATTGAAGGGGGTCTGAATACTTTCCGTACCCACTGTATGTAATTACACACCATTTTAAATTGTTTTTTATTGATTTCATATTGTATATTACATTTTATATTTTACATTTTATATTATTACATTATCAGTATTTAACTGGCTCACATGTTAAGTTGCTTTTATGTTTAAACTTGTTTTCAGCTGATGGTTGGTGTTTTGAATAAATGGTTGAAGAAAAAACAACTTTTCTTTTCAAAATGTTATTTCTGTGTATATGTGCTATCTTTAACTCTATATTGCATATATTTAATACAGGTAGATTCAAATGAAATTGAACTTAGACATTGAACTTAGGCTGTGAAATAATAGAATACTAATAGAATTTAGGTAATTGTCATGAAACCTGGGTGTCATTTTAGTAAAGCTGTAATATGCAGTACTGACACCATCAAATTATGGTAAATATGGGACATTTACAGGTTACAAGTGTTCTACAGTGTAATCTCATTAACAAAACAACGTCAAACATGACAATAGATGCACAACACTGGTAGTTCTCACTCACACACATATCTGTGTGGTTCTCTATGCATGGGAACAGCTGGATTCACATTCCATCATGCTGTCATAGACACCTGAACATTCCATGATGTCACAATGACAACCTGGTCTCATAAAAATACCTACCTCTGGGTACTTTTCTGCAACACTGTTTTTACGTACCTTACTGCACATTTCGCCGCAGTTTCAAAGAGAAATGTCCACTGAGTGCTTGCTTATTCACTTCCTGTCTCGTGTAGCTGCTCAAAGTCATGTCAGCCATATGACTTCAGAAGTCTTGTCTGAAGTTTCTGGACCCTGCGTCTTTCAGTGAGTATTTGTGTGTGTATATGATGGGCACTCTTGAAGCACTGCTTCATGAAGCTTCAGAAGTTTTGTGAATCATTTGTTATTAACCAGTGGTTCAGAGCGCATATCAAACTGCCAAAGCCTTGTGATTTCAGTAAACGAGGCTTCATTAGGTCACAACTGTTTAGAAATGTTTCATAATGTCAACGGTTTGATGCTAGTGGTCGATCTCTGTGAACTCATTAACTAGTGTCTGTGGCTTTTACCCTACCTGAGATCAGTTTTATAAATTTGTAGACATTTTTCATTTGTAAAATAGGAAGAGTTGTAGTTAGTAGTCTCTAATTGGCCTGATAGTCTTTTATTGGCCAAAATAATCCCTGAAATTTAATCAAACACATTTTAAACAGACAGTTCATATTTATGACATTATTTGTAAATTGCACTTAATAGATCACGTTCAATAAAACATTTGCAGTTGGTTTGTAAAAGGTGTTTTTATGCATGTTTGGCCAGAGATTTCATTGCATTTACACAGTTTTGACCAGCTTGTGACGTTTTGAGCGCTTCAAAACAGTGAGCCATTTTGCAAAGCATTCGGATCAGTTGATTGAGTTGTGAAATGCTTTTTTTCGCCCATCACTAGTATGCTGTTTTGTATTTGTCATTCAAACGAGGAAGAAAATTGCATGTTTTGTTAATAAATTGTTGTGAGTAGAGCATAAATTGGCTTTTTAAAATACGGATACATACCCTAAAAAGCTCTTATGAAAATCCACCTTCAACATATTTATTTGCTGTGTTCCTGACAGCCGCATCAAGCTAGTGAAGCAGCAGCTGTGTATTTATCTTACACAGCAGCTTATTGACAATGTCACATTCATGCTTCCGAACACAAACCCTCCCAAATACACAAATGCCACACTCTCCACCGGTGACTGCCCTCCGTCACCCTCTCCTGCTTCTCTGAGTGTGGGTGCAGCCTAAAGGACACTATTATCTGACTTATGCATCAACTATCTCTCTGTTATCTGGTAAAAGGCCTATTTCAGAAGAACCTTCAAAGCAGGACTGTATACAGTCAAATAAGATATTAGATTTTTTGATTTTTTTGAAGATATTCAAAACAAATAAGAAGCACAGACCTTCTTTGCACAGAAAAAACCTTCATGACATAAAAATAAATAAATAAATAAAAATAACATCAGTACAATGATTAACATATTATTATCGATACTCTCATTTAATATTACCACAACACAGGAACATTTGTCACATCAGGCAATTTAAAGGCTGACAGTGATTTTCTTGAAATTGATTGTTGAAGACAAGTGAATTTGTACATAAGCCCTACTGTGATGACTGTAAGAACTTCAGTAGAAAAATAAATTATATAATTTAAAAAAAGAAAAAAAATTTTCCAACACACACATACGGAATATTTTTCTTTTAAAGAAAAAATGTTCTTTTACAAGTCTCTTCTGCTCACCAAGGCTGCATTTATTTAAAGAAAAATACAGCAAAAACAGTTATATTGTGAAGTATCATTGCAATTAAACTGTTTTCTATGTGAATATATGTTAAACTGTAATTTATTCCTGTGATGTAAAGCTGTATTTTCAGCATCATTACTCCAGTCTTGTCACATGATCCTTCAGAAATCATTCTAATATGCTGATTTAGGCTACTGCTCAAGAAAAATTTCTGAATATTATCAATGTTGAAAATGTGCTTAAAATGTTTGTGAATGTGATAGGCTACACTACCATTCAAAAGTTGTGCTGCAAGTTATTTTATTTTTGTATAAATCAATACTTTGCTCAACAAATAAATGAATCAAACATAACAGCAAATCTTACGCAAGATTTGTTTCAAATAAATGCAGTTCTTTTTAACTTTCTATTTATCAAAGAATCTTGAAAAAACGTTTCAGCGTTTCTTGAGCAGCAAATTAGCACTTTATAATGATTTCTGAAGGATCTATTGCAATTGGTTCATAATATATGGGGTAAACTTGTATAGGCTATCATAAACAGTACAAAAGTTAGACAGGAGTTGGCAAATAAAAAATATACAATAAAAATGAACAAACAAAGAAAAAAAATTCAACAAAGCATGTAGGCAGGGCCGGAACATCACGAGTAGACACGCCCCTTACTGCTGATTGGCTACAAGTTTGTTTTGCTAGTCGGCCCGAATCAGTTTCTAAAGCGTTTTTGAAAAATCGCTGACCCCACCTTTAACATAAGGGCTAGGCGGGGCTGAAGCCCCAGGGCCAGCGGATTGAGGGGGCCCAACGTGATTGGCTGTGGAGGAAAGGAAAATTAGACCTAGAATTGATTGGCCATCGGGAGCACCCGAGCTTTTCCCGGTGTGCCGATTGCCGCAATCCCACCACGCCCCCACATATGTGTGTCTGCGCTATTTCAGTCCAAAAGATATGAGCGATAAAAAATGTCTTTGTACTCATTTACACTAGAGTTGCGGGTATCTTTTAATCGCCTTGGCTTTACTGTAGCGCATGGGAAACAAACACTAAAAGCCAAGTGAAGAAATGGCGCTAAGTTACCTGATTAAACCGCGCAGCGCAAGAGAACAGCTGGACTCCCACCCGCAACTAGCTCGACACTTTCGCCGCTCTATTGAAGTGATAATAAGCAGCGCTTTCCCATTTGAATTCCACACACGGCACTTATGTTTGAACAGTAAAGACTCCGTGGTGAAGCTAGAGGAAACCAGATTGAATAGCAGTAGCACCGACCATGTAAAGTGGAGTGTAGAGGTAAACTGTACAAAACTGTAAATAAGCAAATTTAATCCACAGCACCACACCTAGGCTATTTAACATGCATTTACAGGTGCATCTCAATAAATTAGAATGTCATGGAAGAGTTAATTCACAATTTGAGTTGAATTACTGAAATAAATGAACTTTTCCATGACATTCTAATTTATTGAGATGCACCTGTACTGACATTGCAGAAATATGGTTAATGATATTTATTATTAATGTCACGAAAATTGTTATAGGATACTTATGCTATAGCCTATTAAATAGTGGTTCAAATAAAGGCAATAAGTCAATTTTATCAAGGTTTACTAATACTATAGTTAACTCTGGATTCAAGAATTAGCTTTTCATTAGGGCAACTACAAAGGACCATTTAATAGTTCTAATAAACTTTAATTGCAGAAAAATATTAATTCAATAATTAAGAGTAAACTCCTTAAGGGAGCTGTATATGCTCAAAAGTTGTTGCTGCTTCTGGAAACCTGTTTGCTTTGACTTCATATATCTGGTGTTAAAGTATTTATTATTTAATGTGCTGTAGCCTGCACTGTAAAAAAATCCAATTAACAAAATGTTGGAAGGGCAAAAATATTTAAGTTGAGCTAATTCTATTGCTTGGGCTTAGTTGAGAGGACATATTATATTAAGTCTACACAAATATATTTGAAAAACATTGAATGAACGGTTATTTTCAAATCCAGTCAACAATTAGCTATGCTAATGTTGACTAAACTAATGAAAACTAATCCAGCCAACACTGAGATCATTCTGCACGTGCACGTGCACGAGCCTGAGTGACTTCGCGGGAGAAACAGCGCCATCTTGTTAAGTTCACGAGTCAGGTAAGTGCCACTAAATAAATGTTATTTTTTAGACTAAATTTATCGACAAAAACATGCAACATATAAATATCCACTCAAAAACATCGGATAAGTCGCGTCCGAAGAAAAATTTATATTTAGGCTGTTATATGCATGTCAAGTTCACACGTCAGGTAAGTGGAACTGAATTTGTACTTGGACTGAATTTATCAATAATTGTATATTAAAAAAAAGGTGTAAACGTATTATTTAAAATGTATGTATTTATACACAAACGTACAACATATATAAAAACATTGAATAAGCATTGTATGAATATGTCTGACGGAAATGAGCTGTTTAAGTGAAGGGAACGTGGTCTTTCTTCTCGTTTAATCCATAAAACACTTAATGTCAAAACCTGTGTTACTATAATGAATTTTAGGTTTAATTTTGGTGTGCAGTATGATATATTTGTGTTTCCTTGACGTTAAAAGATATCGCGCGGTCTCTTTCTTTTATAAGCCAATGCTTACTACGATGAAATGTGTAATGTAAACCACAGTAATACGCTTATTTGAAGTTAACATGGGCATGTTGAATGGGCTTTTGCATGTGCAAACTTTTGCAATTGCCCCGTGAAGTTAAAAGTCGACATTAAATGTGACTAACAACCAGGCTCTTTTCAAACGGGGCGGATTACACAGCGTTTCTGGTCTCGTGAAGGCTAGGGATGTGCGATACCTCTTATTTTATTTTCGATCCGATACTGATATTTTCAAGCCCAGTATCGTCGATATCGATACCGATGGGCCTACCTATCAACTAAATTGATCTTTTAAATTATTAAAAGAATATAATCAGTAATTATACTCACTTGAGACAGTATACGGATTGTAAAGTTGTACTCTTTCTTTTAACTTACCTTCGGATGTTTAGTCATGTTTATTTTGTGCTGAAACTGGTATTAATGTGGAGGAGATGATCAGTTCACGTGCGCCTCGATCTGTCACTCTACATTAAACAGCGCCAAAACGGCATTTATTGTTTAAATACTGCAGTACAATGGATAGAATTTGAAATCTGAGACTTTGTTTCATATTAAAAGTACCAAAGCACAATACTTATTGTGATATATTGGATGGGAAGTGCCCTTCAGTGTTCCATCCATTAACTGAAAACAGGCTAGATTAATCGATTCTTGGGATTTAAGAATCTATATCGTTCCGTACAAATGAGAATTGATTAAAATCGAGATATCGATATTTTTTACCTAGCCCTAGTTACTGCACATAAAAACAAACACTTTCCCTAATACACATTTTAACCTAAAAAGGTTAACACAAGTTAAAAAGTTTCCTTTACAGCTGAAGGTGAAGGAAAAAGTGAACCCTGAGAACAGAACGACAGATTCATGTGCAGCAGCTGCAGAGATTGATGTTGAACTGTCTGACAGCGACACGGAGCAGAAACAGCAGGAAACGCTGATGAGCCACACCACAGAAGATCACGGCATGCGCACTGACTGGGAATCTAACAGCGGTCAGTGCCGACTGAAACATCACATCTGTGAATGAAATGCAGCTCCTATTAGGGCTGGACTTTGAGGTCAGGAAGTCACGAATTTGAATTTTGCTCAATTGACGACTTTTTAAAAACTAAAATTGCATGTTTGTCAATAGACATTTTACGATGACAGTCTTCAGGAAAATTAATGGCTAAATAAATGCACAACTGAAATGAACGTCATTTCATTTTAGAGAGAAGGTAGACATACACCATATATAGTGTTAGATGTAAATATTTTTCACTCTAAAATAGTAATACTTTGATATCATCGACAAAATAATTGCAAATATGTTGTAAATATTCAATATCGCCCAGCCCTACTTCTTTGGATCCGTCCTGAAACTGTATTTACTGACATTGTACTCACACAGCTATTATACTCAGTCTTATTTTCGTCTGTTTTTCCAGTGTATCTCGGTTCCTGAGTTTGCCTTGTCTGCAGCACATCTGCGAACACATCCTGAGCTCATCGCTCGATACCTGATTAAGTTCATCTTCCCAGAGGATGTGCTGGTGTGCAGTAACGTGTACGGCGCGGCATTCAGGCCCTCGACCACAACAAGATCTCCGCGCTCCGAGGGGAGATATCTGATCAGCGGCACTGTAGATGGCTAGTTTTTTAAAATGGTAGCAGACTGGATACCCGATGGTGGAAAAGAGGTAGCTTTGAATAAGGACTAGTTCTCTGTTCCTGTTCTTCTTCAGAGCACCTGCTGGAGCGTTTCTCCTGGATGAAGCTGGAGGAAGATGGAAGCGACTGGAAGGTTTGCGTTGGCGCTATAAACAGCACTATCCGCAAGTTTCGATATGAGCGCAAGATGGGCATCAAGAGAGGGATACGCTAGTGCTGAATATCTGCTCGATACAGAGGTGAAATCTTCGTTTGGAGAGGTGTTTGTACACAGTGACTGTTTGTGTCAAGAAATGCTGTCAGTAGCAGTTACTGGTTGTTTTTCTAGAATGTGTGATTAGTATTTCATTTCATTTGTGATTTATACTGGTTCTTACTTTGACATTTATTATTCTAAACATGAAATCTGAAAAAAAAAGACTTTAATTTAGCAACATAAAATGTACATAAATATATAGATGTTTAAACAAAAGTGGTTAATATATGGATTTATTAAGAACAAAAGAATTAATATATTACGTATCCAAAAATTTTCTCTCCATTGAAACTTAGCAGCTATAGAAGAGAGAAAAAAAAAAAGACAGCCGTTGTCAAAACTGGGACTTGCACTTCAGTTACGAACATTGTATCAGTTTAGATGATTGACTGAAGTGAATAAAACAGGTTTAGGTTAACAAGTCGTGTTGCACAGAGTACGAGTGTCAGATCCTCCGGAGTATGAACAATCACTTCTTGTGTCACAAACCTGAAATAAAGCACAGTAGCACGGTTTAATCACCTTCAACTATTGAACGAAGGAGAAAACATATTTTGCAGGTGAAATAAGTGCTAGCAGAAAACTAGCAGACACACCTCTGTTGGCAGATGTGATGTTTTTTCAGCTTTTTTCTTGAGGTCTTTGGTGACGTTGTTTATCACTCCAAGACACTGTGCCCACGACACACCCCTCACGCCGACGTCAAACTGTGGGTACATCTCAGCTAGAAACTCTGAATGTACACAGGAATAAAAAAAAAAACCTGTTTTAAAACCCATGAACATTTTTACGCCATTTAGTAATTAATGGTAATGGCACACAAATCAAATCTGGGACCAAACTGGGCTGAAAAAAAAAAAACTGATTCACAAATTCTCTCTTAAACGTTTATGCATCAATGCATAAAAAAATCAGAATTTTTAATTCATCAATTATGAAAAAGCATTCACTGGACATACAGGTAAGTGCCTTGCTGTGTACAAAATCACTCAATTAAAGCCTTTTGGGGAGCAATGACTAAACACTTTTTTTGTGCACAAGACCAGAGATCCACCTCAGTCCCAAACATGTGTACTTGAGACTGTATTTACCTCGAAGGGCTTCTATTTTGTTGGGGTCGAGTTGCTGGATGCCTTTTGCAGGGTTTCCTGTGACCGCACTGCAGGACAGAGTGCTGATGGGGAAGAGAGCATGAAGCACCGGCACTACAGCCTTCTGGGGCTCCACCGCCGTAAACACCTCCTTGTACACAGACAGCGGGATCCACACCTTCCTCAAGGGGCTTCCGATCATTACTGTGTGGAAAAAAAAAAAAAAAAGGCAATTCACTAATCCATGTCATACAACACTGGTATTTCAACTAAAAATATTAAACATAAAAATGTGAAATACTTGTCACAATAATACAATTTATTTAAAATTTAAAACTTTTATATATACATGCATATTTTGATACATTAAAGTCAAAAGACAGAGAGGCATACATTATTGTATCAAAGTTCTGCCTTAAATTTACATATCCAAATTGGAGTCAGTTTATAGTGTGATTTACAAGAAGCAGTTAGTTGGCAGGATTTTTATTTATTATTTATTTTTTTACTTTTTCACAACATGGCAAGATAATGTGCCCTTCAGATGGAGTTAGAAATGTAATTACAAATCCCAAGCACATGAATGACTGAGTTGACAAATACACCAGTTGCTGAGTTCTGACGTTGGCGGGGGTGTCAATTTGAAACACTGATCTAGAATATAAATATATAATATAGTCATATGGGGTTTATCAATCAACTTTCAGTTTGCTTTACATTTACTTGTGATATCATGGATGAATAAGTGATAGAAATGAATATTTTTCATCATTTGGAACTTAAAGAGTTATTTGGATTTATTGTTCATAATATAATTTGTTTAGACTACTTGTATGTCGTTTCCGACTTGAATGAGTTTCCTAGGTGCACTTAAAGGCTACATTAGTTCAGGTCTCCAAATGGTGTATGTATTTATAAAAAAAAAAAAAAGGCAATTCACTAATCCATGTCATACAACACTGGTATTTCAACTAAAAATATTAAACATAAAAATGTGAAATATTTGTCACAATACAATTTATTGAAAATTTAAAACTTTTATATATACATGCATATTTTGATACATTAAAGTCAAAAGACAGAGAGGCATACATTATTGTATCAAAGTTCTGCCTTAAATTTACATATCCAAATTGGAGTCAGTTTATAGTGTGATTTACAAGAAGCAGTTAGTTGGCAGGATTTTTATTTATTATTTATTTTTTTACTTTTTCACAACATGGCAAGATAATGTGCCCTTCAGATGGAGTTAGAAATGTAATTACAAATCCCAAGCACATGCATGACTGAGTTGACAAATACACCAGTTGCTGAGTTCTGACGTTGGCGGGGGCGTCAATTTGAAACACTGATCTAGAATATAAATATATAATATAGTCATATGGGGTTTATCAATCAACTTTCAGTTTGCTTTACATTTACTTGTGATATCATGGATGAATAAGTGATAGAAATGAATATTTTTCATCATTTGGAACTTAAAGAGTTATTTGGATTTATTGTTCATAATATAATTTGTTTAGACTACTTGTATGTCGTTTCCGACTTGAATGAGTTTCCTAGGTGCACTTAAAGGCTACATTAGTTCAGGTCTCCAAATGGTGTATGTATTTATATATATAACTTAATTTAAATATTAATAAAATCATTTAGTCCTCTTAAACCCCATCCCAGCACATATGTTGAGTGCAATGCCTAGATCTCAAAATCCCATCAACAACTGATGGACAGAACCAAATGCTTCCCTACATTTTTCTTTTTTTTTCTTTTTCAACTTGCATGTTCGTCACAATATGACAGAAAAGATCTGTCAATACTACAGTTTCATCACAACTTTAACATTTTAGCTGATGGTTATATCAGTAAAGGCAAATCAAAACTTTTGTTAAAAATTGAATTTTTTTAACATGTCACCATGACTTCTTAGATTAAATTTCTAAGAAGTTGAAAATGTAGCCATGAAACTGCATTTTTAAAAGCTTATTCCTTCATCTCAGACAATCTTAAGACCAAGTATTTACATCATACTGTCCATATCCTACCTTTGTTGTCAACCTGAACTTCAAGTGTAGCCTCTTTATTGTTGGGCATTTTCTCCAGTTCAATTTCCTCCTCGTCCACCTGAGCCAAGGTTTTCTTTCTTTTCTGCTGACGCTTTGAGCCAGTGTTAGCCTGAGAGCCGTTCTTCATTACCTGGCACAACTGTGGATCATCTGTAGATGCAGTGCGGATCGCATCTCCATTGGGCTTTGACACGAGTGAAGCAGGATCAGGAGTTTGAGACTGACACTGGGATCTGCTGCTGCGCCCCCTGCGACCGCGTCCACCGCCAGGAGGTTTGCCCGACTGAAGGCTGCTGTTGTCAGCCTGCTGAAGGTCTGCCCTGTCCAGCCCTCGTTTCCAGGGAGGGATCCAGCGGGGGTTTCTCTGGACTGGTGGATCAAGCTGCTGGGCCAAAGACCAGGACAGCTGCCTGTCTTCAGCAGGCAGAGACGCCCCTCTCTGAGAGATGTGCGATACATTATCACTATTAAAATTGTCAAAATTAACATGTTCATTGTGCGGCTAATTTATTTATTTTCAGTTTAACACGTTAAAAATATTTAACACAATTAAAGCAGCATCCATTTTTCTTTTGCGCTTCAATGGACAAAAAGACACAAAATTATGTAAAAATGCATGTTTTAGGCAAGTGACCTCGTAAACACAGTCTTAAGTTACAAAGTCCTAAATGACCATCAAGAGTTGTTAGAAAACAGGATGTGTCAGATCAGATGGAAAACTCTTTTCGGCCATATTATACAAGTCTTCTTCAAAGTAATACAAACCCCAAAGATCAAGAGGAGAGAAAAGACAATATTAACTGATCACAGATTTTGTGACTTGTACCTGTACTGAGACTTATGCATAATGCATAATGAACTGGAAGTCTATTGTCTACTTTTGTCCTCTAGCCACTCACCAGTCACTTTCTTGAACTATCATGTTTTTTATTTTCTTAGTCACACTGAATAATCTTTAAGCTCTTGATCAACTCCAGAATTGGTTTTGGTGAGATTAAATGTAATCAACAATAAATAGTGATAAATGGTTTATGGACAAACCTTTGGACCATTCTTCAGCTTCGCTGAGCTCCTTTCATACGACGACTTTAAGAGAACAGAATAAAATTTTTAAAAATCTCACATTAAACATGGAAAAACAGCCATTGAGCACATCAGCAAAATGCACATCTTAGGGTTCAACAATAAGATTTTTTTTTCTGCTGGTCTAGTTGGTTTTGTAGTTCAGCTCTGAACTTGCACTGGTGACATTTTCACAGTAAACAATTCAAATGTAATACATTTTTAAACTAAAAAAATTTTCAAATGTTAAACATTAAGATTTCTGCACAAGATAAATTGACAACAAATAACCTTTTTTTTTTTTTAATAAGAGTTCATACTTGGCAACAGTTGTAAAACATTCTAACATGTACGCGCAAACTGAATTAACAGCATAAATTGGGTACGTGTCGGTACTGTCAGCTGGCCCTGGGTCATTCTTATTGTTAAGCCCTGGATCAGTGACTTTAAAGGTCAGTACCTCATTTGACATCTGCCTGTCAATCTTCTGTTCAAGCCTCTGCACTGCTGCATGCAGGAACTGAAAGTCGACAAACAGCAAACAAACCACTGGAATCATCCATCATCCCAAAACAGCTACTATTTTAATTCACTACATTAAACTGGTATATTACTAAGACCTTGATTCTGATCAACTAGAGGTCGACAGATAGTGGATTTTACCGATACAGATAGCTAGGATGAACCACACTGGCCGAAACGGATTAATCAACCGATAGTTTTTGCGTTGCTAATTACAAAACATAATTTTAGACCTAGCACGTGTGTGCGAGTGTCAGTACTGTATGTGTGTCTGTCTGTAAGAAAGAGAGAGCGGGAGAATTAGAGTATGTGCTTTCCGTACATAATAAAACGTTATTTTGTGGCAAAAACATGGAAATAATGTCATTTTTATCCTACTGTTTACTATATTTATTTGCTTTGTCAGTGTCGTTGTGGGTTTTGGTTCTTTTGCTGTTTTAGGTTGTTAGGACCTTTGAAAAAACTGAAATCATTTGACAAAGTGATTTGAACATGTAAAGGTCAAGACCTGCCTGGAACTACTTTAGCCGTGTTTCCCTGAAAACAATTGCACACCTTAGAACGTTTGTCAGCCAATCAGATTCAAGCATTCACCGGCCCTGTAGTATAAATACTGATCATTAAAGTTAGTTCATAGTTCATTACCTAATGTTATCAGAACTTCAAAATGTAAAAATGTATTAGTAGATGTTGAAATTAACACACTCGAACTAGATGGCCATCTTTAAATATCTACACAAAGGCCATAGCATTGAAATAACATACATATGCATCTAGGAGAACTTGCAGGGATCGCACACACCGGACGAGTCACATTCAATTCAAGCAGCAGTCTAAAACAGTTTATTTAATAACCAAACGGGCAAAAGTTCACTTCAAGAATGATAAAAAAAGCGCCATAGATGAGTTTGAAGTTCAGTGTTTAAAAAAACAGAGCAAAATGGAAAGAAAAAGTGTGATCTATATCAGGGCCGTTTCTAGCCATTTTGACGCCCCAGACAAAATCCAACCCCCCCAATAAATTTTATTACATTTGAATTTGGACACATGTTTAGATATTATCAATGACTACTTTTTGTCTTTATGTGTTTTTTTTTTTTGTGGCTGTTTGAAATGTTGATTTAAAGTGTCCATTATGTCATTATTATTTCAGTCAAACCTATAAAAAAAAAAAAATTACCCCCCAAACTACATAAAAAACTTGATCAGTCAAATAAAAGTAATCAGACTCCAGCTACTTATTCCTTTGTTACTCATTGACGCGTGAACTTTCCCTTTAAATGACGTGACACTCTGCTCTCTATAACGCTGCTTCCATTAAAGAGCAGGTCATATGGGTTTTTGAAAAATATCTTTTGCAGTTTATAATGTAGCTACCCTTGAATGAAAACAATCTGCAAAGTTGTTCATCAAAAAAGTGCATGATAAATAAAGATATTGTCTCTCAAAAGAGAGAGTCGATTCTGAATCGCCTTAACGAGTCGTCATATTTTCAAATATTTTGCCTGTTGCCTTTGCCTTTTGGTATACGTCACTGGGTAATACATTTGCATAATCCCCACTATTTCCTAAGAATGTGTCGATTAATGAAGACTGACGTTGTTCTAATTACTTCGTTTAATAATAAAGAATGTAGTGTAGCACACAGACTTTATAATCATAGTGAAATTGCTGTTTATTTTGCTGCACCGGCAGTTATAGGATTAATGCGGGAGAGACGAGCGAGTTAGTTAGCCAGTAGACATATTTTGGTTTACAAACTGTATGGTTTCATCAGTTAGCCACGTTAGCACTCGGCTAACGTATCCACCATTCGACCTTCTTTCACAGGAATTCAGAGGATGCATGAGGTGTATCCTTCGCTGCTACAGATAACCCACAATTCTTTGCGTCGCCATAAACAACCGTTGTTAATTTGATAAATGCTGGTGCCGGCAGATGTACACACAAGCAGCAGATGTGGTGTTTACAACTTCTTAAATTGCCTCGGTAAAAACGGATAAACTTTGTTTTTAATTATATGCATCCTACAGAGGATGCGACCTCCGGAGGGCGCAGCCTTCTAAATGAGACAGCTATTGTTTTAAGTGTTCACATTTTAGCAGCTAAACTTTAGTTGTGGGCATGATTCTTTTACATAAGTGTTTTTGTATTTTATGTCATTATTTTAAGAATGGATTGGTGCTGTTAGTAGTGAATTAATTCAGCATTTCCGCAAGGATGCGCTAAATTCAACAAAGCGGTTTAATATAGGATGTATTGATCTTGTGATTTAGTGAATTTTACTATACAAATATTTTTTTAATTAGCCGTTAAATTTTTATATGTGAATATTACACACACCACACTGATCCTTTAACAATGCATTGGTGCAAAAAAGCACACCCTTTGGACCAATTTTACAGCGTGATTTCTCAACTGCCACAAATACTGCCTTAACAAAATACTAATTTTGTGCACCTTTTTACAGTACCAATATTTTAAATTGGTCTTTGAACTTAGCTAAAACTTTGAACTTTTAGCAAAAAAAAAAAAAAAAACACGCTACTTTGCCAAAGCACTGACAGAACCCACTGATCTAACAGTGTTGTTGAGCACTCCAAATGCAAACTTTGCATGCAACAATCCGGCAGCAATTTACAGCACTCTGATCCAATGGCATACAAGCATTGTCAGATTGACAGTACTGTAGCCCAATGATGTTGGGGGATCCAGTGGGGGTGGTAATCATATTTCTGGTTAGCCGTGCCACTCTTTTATCACAACCCTGCTAAAATGTAGTGCCAGTACATGCGCTCATTGGTGCCCCCTCCTGCTGGTGGCACCCTTGCCTATGCCTAGCAACGGTACTGATCTATATTATTGAAGCATACACACTTTATTAGAGCCACAGAAAGACAAACATTTCACTGAAAAATGCACAATACACAATCTTCCAGCCCAGGGTGAAGTCTTTATGTACATTAACAATGATTTGAGACAAATATAATGTAATTTAATGGAAAACTGTGTGAATGTCACACACTAAAAATCAATTTCATGACAACAACATTATGCAGTACCTGGTTGTAAAACCGCCTACATTTAAATTTCTGAACAAACTGGATAAACTTTCACAGGTAAGAATGTGTTGGTTTGTGTTTTTGATATGTATTAACTCAATATTGCAGGTTTTTAAATTAAAGTAGGCTACCTTTTAAATACCTTGCTAGCTAACGGCTTCGTCTTGTTGTATTGTGTTAGTTAACTCCTTCCCCGCCATTGACGAGTTATCTAGTCTTTTAGAAGAAAACGCTTCCCCGCCAAAGACGAGTTTTTACGGCTTTCCGTGTTTTCACTGTTACACACTCGGGGGCGCTATTACACATCTTCTGAACGAGAACAAAACCTCCCGAACAAAAACACACGTGAACAGCACGGAGAAACTAGCTCTCTTAAGATCTCTTAAGTAAAGATCTCTTAATTAAACAGATGCATATGAAAAATAATGTGATCATCAGCAACAGACAGCATATAAATGAAAACTGCATAATGTTACAGAGTAAAATGTTGATCCAGGAAGTGGTATATGTCTGTGCAAGCTTTGGAGGTGTTGATGGAAGCGATTTACTGGATTTATGCTTTGATAATCGTACTGAATATTACCCAGATGTAGTTTTTGATAATTTGATTTTATCACCTTTTTGCTCAAAATTATGCCTTTTTATGAAACCTACCTATATTCAAGTGTTGATCAAAAAAGAATGCTTTAAAGGGGTCATATGATGCAATTTCAATTTTTCCTTTCTCTTTGGAGTGTTACAAGCTCTTGGTGCATAAAGAAGATCTGTAAAGTTGCAAAGACTAAAGTCTCAAATCCAAAGAGATATTCTTTATAAAAGTTCAGAGTCAGCCACACCTACCTAAAACGGCTCATTCTAACACGCCCCCACATGTCTACCTCACTATGTGGGAAGATTTGCATAACGCCGCCCAAATGTTCACGCAAAGAAAGAAGGCGTAACTTTTAGTCTCACTGTAGTTTTGTTGCAGCCATGTTGTGAAGACGTGTGCGTCGTTGTGAAACGAAACTACTTTGTTTGGTCTTCCAAAAGAGGACGATATC